CCCCAAAACCCCAAAACCCCAAAACCCCACAAAGAGAATTAAGAAAGGATTGATATCCTAAGGATACTCAATAATAATTAAAAAATAAAAGAAAATGAGCGCTGTGTATAAAATGGTTGGAAACCTAATTAAAATGCTCTCTCCAGGCAAGATACAAGGTGGGCTGCACTTAAAGGAAAGACGAGAGTACGCCTCTTTAACTTCAGGGTTAATTTCAATTGTGGGCATAATTTTCTGTTTCGTGATGATATGCATCGCACTTAACGACTGTTTCTAAAAAAAATATATGGAGTCTGATGTTGAGCAAGGGTCCTTCAGTTTCGATAAACTTTAATAACTAGATAAATTGATTGAAAGACTTGACATCCTATCTGAAGTCACAACAACTGATGCTGATTTCTGCAAAACTCAAACTCATTCTGGTTACTTGCTCAAAGGAGGAACCTATCTTAAATTAGATGTTGAATGCTCTCTAATAGGTTAATCTCTAACATACTATAAATACAACGTAAAATTCGCAGCAAGTCAGGAAAAAGGTGGTGAGATGATTGATGAAACCTGGATACTAGACCTTAGCTTCACTTGCGACCCTTTATCAAAATGCAAAAATGACCCTGCTCTTAGTTACAACATCTACCTTAATGATTACTATCTGAATAATGATAATGAGATCTACAAGGATAGACAGAAATTCGAATCAAATAAGGACGGTACTGCTCTTTTCTACAGAGCCAAGCCTGTGCAAGTCAAAACTACCTCCTCATTATTTAGTCGTGATCCCACCTATGATAGAGACTTGTATTTTAGCAGTGACCTGGATTATACTCAAGACTAATCTCTCGATGATTATACTTTCTAGGTAAAGATAACCTAGACTGATCAGACTTAATTGTGGACAACTGTATAGAAATATCCAAGAAGTTTCGCTTACTGTATGGTATAGATTGGCGGCTACATCGGATTCTTTGGAATATTCGTCTGTTTCATCAAACTTATGAACTATTTCAGTTTCTAAAAGGAGCTCACCAGACTCCACATGAGGTCATTGAACTATGATATCGCCTAGAAGCCAAGTTAAAAAGACATGCCAGAGAATATTTATACTTATGAAAACTTCATCGAAATGAAAAACTTTATGGATAGGTTGAAGAAGATACCAGAGATCTAAAAGTTCTTAGACGATGAAAAGGGAGAGAAAAATCACTTGAATCAGTACCTAGATGATGGAGAACTCAGACTTTACAGAAAAAGCACTCTTGGAAGAAGCTCAGTTAGATCTCTAGAGTGAAAAGTGCTAGAATATGATAAGAAAATAGCTATTATGGTATCTAAATCTTGAGAATTCAACCTTATTTATGAAATCTGATATCTTTATTCAATTCATTATCAGGGGTTTTGGGGTTTTGGGGTTTTGGGG